TCCTCGTAAGGATCCTTCATGCGGATTCCTTTTCGATGATACCGTATGAAAAAAAGGGCTCTTGGTTCAGGACTCATTATTAAGGACTCCTTACACATGACTTTCCACCCAGGATAAGGAGGCGCGACTAAGCAAACCTTGCTAATGATTCCCTGGTCCGAATTCGTTAGTCAAGATGTCTTACTAATGATTTGTTACTTCGGATCACCGTAGTAGGATTCCTTGACCCAGATTCTTTATTCAGGGTTTTTGTTTTACAGCGTTTTAATTATCAAGGATTCCTCAGTAGGGATCTTCTCGTAGATTTTTTAGTCCAGGGTCCCTGGCCAAATATTCCTTCGTAAGGATTTCGATGGATTCTTTACTAAGGATTATTTGCGAACGGTTCCCAAGAGTGCCGTATAAAATGACAAGGATTCCTTATTAAGGACTTGAGGGGTTCCTTACCATGAGCTCTTTGGTAATGGTTCTTGGCTAAGGAGTCTTTCTTAAGGCGGCGTAGTAAGCAACCTGGATTATGGACCCCGCAGGATCTCGAAGGATTTCTGGGCTTCGCAGGGATTCGCAGGGGCCCGCCAGGATTCAACCGGGATTCCTATGGATTCCGACTGGAGTGGGGGGGAGGAAACCAAAAACAAAGAAACTAAACAAGCACATAAAGCAACAACAAAACGCATAGTTGTTGTTTTGTCTTGTCAGAATTGTTTTGTTTTGTATGTTCCAGCGTTTTTTTGCTGTTTTGGCGTTTCCGGCGAGGTGCTCAAACACGTCCACATCGCCCATGACTGTATCGTGCCTTGCGCCCGTCCTCCTCCTCCTCCTCCTCCTCCTCCTCCTCCTCTCCTTCTTCTCTCAGCCGTGCGCCTCCCACCCGTCAGCGCCCTGTCCCCTCTCACTTCGCATCCTCTCCCTGTCATGCGCCCTCATCCTTCGTGTCCATCCTGCCTCCGCCTCCTCCCTCTTCCAGCCCCGTCCCGCACTCCTCGTGTGTTGCTTCCTCCCCTCCCTCCTCTCTCCCGCCTCTTCGGCCGCGGCGCAGGCGAACCGCCGCCCCGCCCCGCCGATGGGGGAGGATGAAGTATCGGATGGAAGGTCATTGCCCTCGTCTCGCTTTCTTTCGGGCGAAGAGAACTATGCACATGCACCGGTCCTGGCCAGGCCAGAACTATGCATATGCCTTCCCGGCCAAGGCAGGAGGGCGTATGCACCGATCTTGGGCTCAGGACGGACCTGGCCCAAATCGGTGTATGTGCATGGCTCTTTTTCCTCTACCCCAAGGGGTCGACGGATTTTCGGTCCGTGTCACCCCTCTTGGTGTCCTTTTGGGCCGTCTTCTTGGGCGCTTCTGGGCCGTCCTGGGGCCCCTTGGGCCATCTTGGGGCCCCTCTTGGGAGCCTCCGAGGCCGCCTTGGGGCGGTCTTTGGGGCCTGTTGGGCCTGTTGGGCCGCCCTGGAGGGTTCTTTTTCCTTCATTCTTGTCCGCTCGCCCTGTTCTCGCCTCCTTCAGCGGAGTGCCCCTCCTCTCGCCCGCTTCCTCCCTCCCTTGCCTCCCGCCCTCGGCCTCGTGCTCTCGCCCTCCGGCCCCCCCTCCCCTCCCTCTCTTCCTCCCCGCCTGGGTGATGCCCCCTCTCGCTCCTCCTTCCTCCGCCCTGCCCCTGACCGCCCCTCTCCCTCTCGCATTGCATCCCGTGCTCCCTCTAACCTCCTCCTCCCTCCCTCCTCCTCCTCCGCCTCCTCCGCCTCCTTCCCCTCCTCCTCCTCCTCCGCCTCCTCCGCCTCCTTCTCCTCCTCCTCCTCCTCCTCCTCCTCCTCTCCTTTCTCCTCCTCCTCCTCCTCCTCCACCTCCTCCTCCTCCTCCTTCATCTCTCTTTCACGTCCGTCCCCTCCCTCCACCGCCCCTCTTCCCCGCCCCCTCTGCCGCACCTGGCTTCCACTGTGTCCCGCCCTCCTCCGCTCTGCTCGTCCTGCCTCCCCCCACGCTCCTGCTCCCCGGTGCCGCCATTCCCCGCTCGCGCGCCGGACGTCCGCCCCACGCGCGGCCCCAAAAGGCCGCGGCGCACGCGGGGCCCCCCCCAAGGGGCCCCGGGAGTGGCCCCCCGTGGCCCCGGAGGCCTCCCCGCGGAGCCTTCCCCGCGACCCTCCCCCGCGAGCCTCCCGGCCTTGTGCAGAAGTCGGGGGCCCCCAAACGGTGCGGTGACCACGCCGTGCGGTGAGTCGGTGGGGATTCGGGGTCACCGCACGGTGTTGGGACTCGGGTCGTTCTCCGAGGACGTCTCGGGCGACGGGGGCCTCCAAAGTCCCCAAAGCGTGCGGTGACGGACCGTGCGGTGAGGTCTAGTGGGATTTCGAGGTCACCGCACGGTCCGTCACCGCACCGTTTCGGGACTTCAAAAGAAGTTCCAGAAACGGGAGCCTCGCGACGGGGGTCAATGCAAAAGGGGGTCAACCAGAGCGCCGGGTCTCGCAGGATCCTGCAGGGCCAGGGTCGCACTGACCCGGGT